GGACAAGGAACAAGAGGTGGCGGCTCAAGAACTTCTCGTCAAACAATTTTGGAAGAAGTTTAACGTTAAACAAGCTGTAGACTTCTTGGTGGAGGCATGGGATCTGCTGACTATTGCTACGATTCGTCACGCATGGAGACATGTGTTGCATGGCATACCAGGTGAGAGGAGGAGTGAACCTGTGACTGGTGAGGTTCAGACTGTTGCAGTAGCAGTGGACCTTGCCAGAGAAGCTGCGCTCAATAATACAGCTGAAGGCTTCTCCGAGACCACCAACGAAAACATCCTGGAGGTGATCAGAGATCCTGAAGTGACTGCCGACGAGATGTTGGAAGAAGAACACGTCAGTGAAGAGGAGGAAGAAGGTGCGTCATTCTCCGAAGAACACAGTTTAAGTCATAGTGATATTAAGTGTGCCATAGAGTGTGCGGAGAAAATGAAGTCCGTCCTTTCCCGCGACAATGACGATGACCGCTATGAAGTCTTCCATACCCGGCTGGTGCAGGCTATGGAGCCGTACATCACGGTGTACCAAGACAACATAAACGCCAGCCGTCAAAAAAGCATAACCGAGTTCTTCGCCCGCAACCCACCACAGCCAGCCCAAGCCAGTGATAGTGACAGTGAAGTTGACTTTGAGGGATTTGTCAGGGAAGCCCTGACAACTGTAAGTGACAGTGATGGTGATTCACCTAATAATGGTGATTCACCTGAGGGCCAGTAATCTGCCCTCTGCCTCGGAACCAGCCTCCATCCCCGTATGCCGACCCATTTCTTCTACTACCGTAAGTGTTCCACCTAACTTTTAGTTTCTCTAACCTAACCTTTATTTTTCCTATGTTAACCTTTATTTTTCCACCTAACCTCTTCTATATTAATTGTTTTTTCATACCATCATAAAGTTAAGATAAAAATTTTACTATAACATAGTTATGTGTCGTCAAAAAGTGGAGTTTGGGGGTCGGGCTGGTTTCTATTGGAATTAATCCCATATGTTCTGTTGTTCACTTAACGCGGATTTCACTTAATGCGGGACCCTCTGGGTTCTATTGACCGCGTTAAGTGGGGTACAACTGTATACAGTATATATATATATAATGAAATGGTACTAAAGATCTTTTTTTACCTTGGTATAGGTATTGTGATATCCGAGCACTTAATATCACAAAACCACAGCAAGCAATAAGACAATAATATGCAGCATTCAGAGCCCGGGTGTTCCATAGGTTCTCAAAGTTGTAATAACTCCACTGACCCTCACACCACACCCAGAGTTTATTCATAATTTTCCACATGTTATATATCACTTTGAATTCACTTACAAGTATAGGTACCGTATATACTCGTGTATAATTCGAGTTTTTAAGACCAAATTTTTAGGCAAAAAATTGGGGGTCGTCCTATACATGCGTAATAGTTTTGTTAGGTTGAACCCGTGCATGATGGGAAGGGCGAGGAGCAACTTTTAGCTTCAGACATGAAAAATATTTACCATTTACTGCCAGTAAACAATGGAAAAGTAAAATATGTACCAATTAGTAATGAAAAGTTGTGCAATTCCTTCAGTAAATGAAGCTCACCAACTTACAATAGGCTAAATTACCTTACAACGTGCTTTCAGTAGTCTATGTTGAAGTTCTTAGCACAGGCTAACTTATCATATCATATACGGTATCACAGTTCTCATTGATCTACAAAAAATACCGGTAATAAAAACCTTTTCGATATTTCACACTTAATATAATGCCCGGTAATCTACTTCAACCTCCTATTGTTTATAACGACGCATGACGCACCACCAGCTGTTGAATATCAGCTAGACGGTACACGTGTTTTTCGAATCGTTTTCAGTTAAAAAAATGTTACATCACATGTATATTTTACCTTAACTGTGCCTGAATGAATATATTCTCGGAAATAAATAGTAGTTTTGCTGAAACGTGATGTATTTAATGTAAAATAGGATAAAATACATGACGAAAACAAAAGATTTTACCTAACCTTCCGATGTTCAAGAGAAGTTACTCGTTTTTTAATACAGTAGTTTTTGGTTAAAATATTTTTATATTTCAATGATATTCTATTCATACTGTGCTTAATATAATGCATTCACGGAAATGCAATATTTTTGCTGAAATGACGTACGTATTACAGTGGAAAGTGGGATAAAATCGTGACAAAAACAATGACTTTCGCTTTCTTTCGTTCAAAAGATGTTACCGTAATCGCTTTTCGAATGGTTTTCAGTTAAAAAACTGTTGTATTACGATAAAATTCGTATCCTAATTGACTTGAATAAATACTACGATACCATATTTCTGAATATTTTCATTAAAATCCATCAAAATCATTTTCCTTGTCATCGTCTGCAGCACCAAACAGCTTCTCCCAGTCCTCTCCTTGAACAGGGCTAGAGGGTACGTGTTTTTCGAATCGTTTTCAGTTAAAAAACTATTACATCACACGTATATTATACCTAAACTGCGCCTGAATGAATATATTCTCGGAAATAAATAGTAGTTTTGCTGAAACGTGATGTATTTCAATGTAAAATACGATAAAATACATGACGAAAACAAAAGACTTTACCTAAGCTTCTGTTCTTGAGATGTTACTCATTTTTTTAATAGTTTTCGGTTAAAATTCTGTTATATTACAATGATATTCTATTCATACTGCGCTTGATATAATACATTCACGGAAATGTAATATTTTTGCTGAAATTACGTACGTATTACAGTGGAAAGTGGGATAAAATCGTGACAAAAACAATGACTTACGCTTTCTTTCGTTCAAAAGATGTTACCGTAATCGCTTTTCGAATGGTTTAGTTAAAAAACTGTTGTATTCCAATAATATTCCCTCCTAATTGACTTGAATAAATACTTGAATGGAAATATACAATATTTTTGTTGAAACTACCTGCGTTTCAGTGTAAAGTGTCGTAATAATAAATGGTAAACAATTTGCCTTCGGCACTCATGTTTCATGCACAGCGAGCCTCAGTTTATAGGACGTAGAGCGTTTTTAGTGAAGGTTTTGTTGTTCCATTACCCTCAAAAACATGGGTCGAACTATAAACGAAGAATATCGTAAATTAACGATTTCTTGGTCAAAAAATCAGGGTCGACCTATAAACGAGGGGGGGTTATAGACGAGTATATACAGTATCTATCATTTTACAGTTTGTTTATTTTTCAAAACACTTCTTTATTATCTTCCCTTGGTCAGGCATTTTAATTCCTTACCTAAACATTCTTACAGTCATAGGCATTTAGCTTCTGAAAAAAGTATATATTGCAAAGTATTACATTTCTGTATTAATTTTTTTATATACAGGTATAAAAACTGTCAAAACACCACAAATCTATACAAGTTGCTTCACCAATATAAGCACTTCAGGAATAGGTTACAGTACTCTCTTTGCATTTACTGAAGTCATGAGGATTATTCTTATTATATTAAAATAGTTTTTGCCATGATTATCTTTCTTAAAAATTATTACAGAAAGTAAAACACATAATACTACAGTATACAATTTTTGCTTTCACTGTCCAAAATCACAGATAATTTCCTAATTCATTAAATCTCACACAAGTTTTGAGTAAGAGCACATCTACGTGTTACAAAACTAATGTTAACAATAACTGATTTCCTCCACATCATCCTGTTTCTGGAACTGACTCTCATTTCCTGTACAACTAATCTTACCCAAACTCGAGTGTACAGCACAGGATAAGTCAACACAGGGTAGCCAACTATTTCCTCACTTTTGTACTGTACTGACTGTACTGTACTGTAGTACCTCTGTTTCAAGTAATTTAGGAAGAGCCTTGTTTTTGACAGATAGTGATTGATGGGGCAAATGTAGGTGGATGTATGTAGATAAAGCTCCTGATAAGTAGAGTAACACAGTATATAAATTATGGCACAGTGTATAGATTACATAGCTACAAACACACCGACTGTATGTTTTCCTTATACACATACAGTACTGTACTCCACTGGGTTTAATACTTTTGGGTGTAAAATACATAGATTTTGTACAGTACAGTACTCATTTTTCAGTGCCTGTTAACATGATGATTTATACCAAAGTTAGAATACACCTGTTGTTCAACTAACTGTGTGATCAATGGGTGGGTTCATGCATAAATTTTTGTACAGTACTTTTGAATGTTTGGAGGTACAAATATATTCATGTACAGTACTCTAGGTGTGAAACTAAAAAAATGGTGCTTTCAGTTAAAGATTTTTGTCTTGTTGATGTTAAAATATTATTATACTGCACTTCAACAAAAAAGGTCTTCATGTGTAAAAAGATTAGTAATTATACTTGTCCATCAACAGTCAAAAACTATAAGATAGAGAACTCTTTATTCCAAAGTATTATATGATTTATTCTGTATTACCTGTTACCAAGGCAAGTCTAAGTTTTATTTCAGGAATAATTAATGGAACTGAAAACTAAATTACAACAGGCATATACTTCCCATCAAAGGAGCAACAATTTCTATAAAAAGGTCTTGAAAGGTTTTCTGCAAATAACATAGCACTGTCATGCTGTGTCTGGAGCAATTTAAACTGCAGATGTCTACTATTTTTAACCTGAACTATAATGTTGGCTTTTGGACCTACTTATTTTTTCTTTGCCAACTCACCTACATGTCAAATTTCATAAAAAAAAATAGTTCATACAGTTGTCATGTAATATAATGTACTGTACACATAAATTTCTGAAATAGTCTAATGATCTACATATGTAAATATTGTACCCATTTCCATTTTTTCTATACATTTAGAGGTCATTTTCCAGGTTCTATTACACATACGTAGACCTATTGCTATTTTTTTATGTACTGTACTCGCAGATGACTCTTTCCATTTTCGTTAATATAACCTGGATAAAATTCATACAAACTTTACTTGGAAAAGATGGTTTCAGTCATTATTACAGTTCCTATCATAGAAAACAACAAACATTTAATATGTATTCTTACCTGGCTTGCTCTTATTTTTCCAACTATATGGTGTAAAGAACTGGGCATACATCTCATCATCAGCCAGATAGTTGACATCTTCTAGGTACTCCTGGGAACACAGAGTACAATTATTACTAGTAGGGTGTCTGGCCATGTTGACGGCAAAACAAATAACGCATTGGCCAAAATGTTTAACATCAGTAGGAATAAAGATGTGTAGGTTACATGAAATTTGTCTTAGCTCATACAAACATCTCAATATAAACACAAACTAAAACTTAAATCTGTCACCAACACTAAAAATCAGTCTAATCAACACTCCCATTCCTTCTCACTAACACACTCGCCAAAACTCATCCCCTCTCATCACTAATTAAAATTTCATCCCTCTCTATTACCACAGTTATTCACTAAAACTAGTCTCTTCTCAACACCACATTCACCAATACAGTGATTACCATATTTTAGGACGTGCAATAATCAGGAACCAAAAAATCAGAAGGATTAAAGTCTGACCATCTGATTCTGGATGACAAATATTTTTCGCAGTGATCAGACTTTATTCCAACTGACTCTTAGGTTCCCGATTATTGTATGTCCTAAAATATGGTAAATCACATAGGATTCTTAAATAAAAAAATTATTGCATAATAACCCTCTCAACATCATGGCTCTCCTTATAATCAAAGTCAACATCATGGCTCTCCTTATAATCAAAGTCAATCTGATCATTTCTCTCTTTCCTTTGCTTGACCATAATCCTTCCTCTTACATCACCATATACAATACTCTCATCACTCTTTCCTCCTTATCAATGATCTTTTTTAGAGGAAAATTTCATAACTTGTCAAAAAGACATTCACCTGTACACTTATCACTGCTATTGCATGTAATGAATAAGTCAGTGTTAAGAATACTGCACATAATAACTACCACTGGGAGACCATCTGTGGCTGTGAACATTTTCGTTTACCTGAGAAGAAGAATCAGCATTGGACATTCCTTCATCATCAGCAAACTCATCACTGTCATCATGATGGCCTCCTGAATCATCACTGTGCAGGGAATCAGCATCTTCATATAATGGGTCTCCTAGTCGATAGCCTGTCAAGAGGAAAATCATATGCAGAAAATATTCAAGACACTGGAACTATCTAATTCAATTCATTTCATACAAATACCTACATATCCATGTACAGTACAGTCGTGGTCAAAAATTTGCTCCCCATGGTGAAACTGAGAGCTGTATTTACAAATGAAATGCCTGACAGAAAGCCCGACCATCAGGAACCCGTAGCTCATGGAAGCAGGAGTTATTCAAGAATGTGCTTTGGGCACTACAATGGGTCAGGATCATGATCCACCAGGTTGGGCTACCATCATGTGCAAATGAGCAGGATGTTAATATTATTACAATCTGTTTTACTTCATTTTTGTTACCGATCCTTGATTATTGTACCACTTAAAAATAATTGATAAAGATTTGAATATACAGTATCTGCTTCCTTTGTCATGAGGCTGACTGGGTTGATCTTAAGCATTGTCACTTCTGGTGCTTTGTGCTTGTTATATGAATTCTACTTGGACCCTAATCATCTCTTCAATAATTCTTCCCAGAATCTTATATCCTGGATACATGTACAGTAATGTACTAGATAATCATAGTACTATTAACTTGTAAGGTAGCGGCCTTAAAACTGATTTAATGGAAGGATGCTATAGACAAAATGTGTAGAAATGCATTATTCTGGTGACCAAAGTTAAAATTTTAGACTTACCAGTACATTTTTGGGGGTAGGACTCCAAATAAAAGAAACCTAACTCAACCTAATGGAAAAAAAAAAGAAAGCTAACTCAACCTAACCTAACCTAACTTACAATAATTACTCTACAATACCTGTCTTCCATAATGTATGTTAAATGTAAAAGAGCAATATTTTATTGAAAAGTTTCCTAATGTTGCTTGTTAACCCCTGCACCTCTTCTAAATTATTACCAGGTATTCTTTAAGTTTTCAGTACTGTATTAGGTTAGGTTGGGTTAGCTTGGTAATTGTGAAACGTGAGAATAGCCAACAAGGGCCAGCACCGACTATACTCATGTGAACCTAAGGAGCAAAATATAATGACTCTCATATATCAGGAAACTGTACTGTACATGACTTTTCCAACCTAACTTAACATCCCGGCTACGTAACCTCCAATATGACCAGCCAGGAACTCCTGGTTAAGTAACCATTTCCTTTTTTAATAGTGACACAATCTTTTCAATATATTTACCAGTTTGTTCTGGGCAAAGTATAGGAATACAGACATAAACCTTCCTCATTTCTCACTCAAGCAACAACAATTATTGTGTACATAACCCTGGCATTATCTCTAATTATACAGGCAACAACTACTAGTTGAGGTTCTATTCAAGTAGAAGTTGTCGTTTCTTCTCTAAAACACAGTCTGCAACACTCGAGACTCAAGTATTGGTGGCGTGGTACAGAAGAATTCCAGTTATCTGGCACATACGAGGATTGAGAGGTGCCGGATAAAGAGTTTTCCAGTTAGTTGAAACTCACTCTTAGGATCCCCCAATAAATCCTACAATGAACAATGCTACAGGCTGACCTTGCAAATTTTTCTCAGAAAAATAGACTTCTTTCACGCATATTCCACTCTATATAAATGATGTGACTTAGAAATAAGAACAAATAAAATAAGAAAAGTGATAAGCATTGGTTAGTATGTATGGGTAGTGAACGTGTGTGGAGGTGGTGGGCTATAACTACATAATCTACTCACTAGCCCAGCTACCGTGTTTATTGTTACTTTTAATGAAACAATAAAAGTTGTCGAAAAATTATTACAATACTCTAATGTGGCTTAGAAATAAAGAAAACATAATACAAATCTATAATTAAGAAAAATGAAGAGCATCAGAGTGTATATGTGTGTTGAGGTGGTGGGTCACTGGGCTATAACTGCTCTCCCTCCCGATGTGACGTCACGGCACACATGCAGACCACATGCCTGTGAGTCAGCTGGTTGACTGCTTGGCTGAGCTGTGGCATCACCCAGATGATGGTTTGAGTGTTGGAAGGAGCTATTTTTTTTACATAAGATATGTGCTATTATATTTTATGTTTATCATTGCAATAAATATGGTAGCTCATCCCCATTCAGAGAAATTTATATTTTCATTATTATTACTCCTGTATTTAATTTTGGTGCCAGTTAGCTCAATAAGTAATACTGTATCTCCATTAGCCGGAATCCCTCTTAACTGGAACTCTCCAATAGCCTGAATCGAAATTTTCTTGGAAAATCGTTCCCAAAGACAGAATTTTCCGGAAAATTCCAAATTTGGGAATGATTTTCTGACAAATTCTGAGAACAATTTCCCATTACCCGGAAAATTCCGGGATAGGGGAGTTTTTCCAGGTTTGAGAGATGATGTAATAGACAATTTCTGGAACTTCCGAGAAAATTTTTCCAGTACTCGGAAATTCTGAAGATGAAACATTTTTTTTCGGCTTTGAGAGATGATGTAATGCGCAATTTCTGGAACTTTTGAGAAATTTTTTTGTTACCCAGAAAATTCCGGGATGATGGATTTTTTTTCCGGCTTTTAGAGAATCGTCTTGTTACCCGGAAATCTCTCATTCCTGAAAGTGCTCTGCACCAATTGTTCCGGCTAATGGATATAGTATTACTGTATACCGGTCGGCCGGATACCGGATAACTTGGATTCTACTGTATTTGTTGAGGCATGTTCACGATCAGCCGGGATTATTTAACAGTTGTAAATACAGTAACTTACAGTCTTTGAATGTACAGTACCTGTACATGGAAACTAGATTTTCTGTCACCAACAAACTCCTTTCCATATGCAATGCACCCTGACTAATATTTTGAAAATAATCTTAAATCACTTGATCTTTGTTTTCAAATGGAACTGCTGGACTTTACTGATATTGTGAGGATTTTATATTTAACATCAGACACTGTATATACAAGAGAGGCCTCCAGCTCAAGTTTCCTAAATACTAATAATTTGATTCCTAAAAATTTATATTATTCAAAAGACGGAAATTTATTTTAAAAAGTCACTTCCTGACTTACTAGAGTATACAATAACCTGCAATTATATAATACAAAAAGAAACAAATGTGAACTGACCTGTTAGTTTAGCTTGTTCCATGATGTACTGGTACACTGGCTGCTCATACACATAGTCCAGGTTGGAATATAAGTGAGTCAAGTCACGGTGCTGTGGGCTGTTCTCTGGCTTTCCAGTGTTGCAAATACTGCTGGGGCTTGGTTGTTTGGTGTTGGTAGTACTGCCATTGTTAGGACTTAACTGTTTGCTGTTATTTGGGCTTGTTTGTTTGGCAGTGCTGCTGCTGCCTGAGCTAGAATTGTGATTCTGACTGTTATTGCTCCCTGTATGAACCAAGTGTTGAGAACTGCTGCTGCTCTGTAAAGTGTCACTGCGATCACTGTCAGTGGTGGCAGCAGTAGCATTTGTTGTATTGGTGTTGGTATTGGCTGTGGTTCCACGGTGCTTGCTGCAGTGATGATGACGGCGATGGTTGCAGCGACGGCCGTCACGATCGTTGCCAGACTTAGTTGAGGAGGCCTTGTTAGAGCTGTCAGTTCCAGGACACTTTAAAGGCTCTTTGTCCACCGTAGTTTGGCGAGAGTCAGTCCGTCGAGAATTACTGTCGACAGATCCTCTGCTTCCTGTTGTTCCAGAAACGAGCCCCGAGTCCACCTGGGAGTGAGGAGAGCTGTCTGCAGACCCACGTCCATAGTTAGACCTTGTGTCTTTATCAGTTAGAGTGGATGCTCCACTGTCTTGACCTCGAGGTGAGTCAAAGTTAAAGGGTGAGAACTCATGTTTGGGACTAGGAGGACTTGGACTAGAATCTGATGTAATAAGTCTGGTGTGTGCGCTGGTACTGGACCGCAGATCCATTTTCAACCTTGACTTTCCAGATTCAAGAGAGCGCTGCTTGCGATGCATCATGGGTGTTGCAAGGCTTTCTAAGCCTGAACTGTCAGATCTTTGGCGATAATTAAGGTAACCGTGGGAACCTAAAGAATCAGGACTGCCCGTCACAACATCCAGACCTTTTTGACGTCGCCGAGGTTGTGGTGTTGACTCTACTGATCGCATAGCACCAATTAAAAAACGCTCGTGCATTCCATCTTCATCGTGGTATCGAGGCCTGGACATAAAACTGTAACTACGAGACAAAGCCATTTCTCTTGGCCTATCTAGGTTGAGTTCTGAACGCTTTGGGTAATTAGAAACATCAAAGCTGCGTTGTTTAGCTATTTGTAAGTGTGAAAAGTCATGATGGGGAATACCCTTATATTTAGTAGATGCTGGGTCACGCATATCAGTATGAGCACGACGGTGTGAAGAGGGAGTGACCGGGGCACCCTGTTGTGGATGTGTTGGTGATGAATGGGAAGACACAGAGTCAGGAGAGCGAGGAGATAGTGGGTCTCTGTCTTTACTTCGTCTCTCTCCAACACGACTACTGACTGGCCCACCACGTTTCGAGTCCCTTAAACCTGGTGCACCACGAGGCGACTCCAACAGTCGGTATCCAGAACTCTCCAGAGAAGTGCGGCTTTGAGACATTGAGCTGTCACTTGACCTTCCAGATTCCTGTAAATACATACCAAAAGAATACTGAAAACAACAGTGCATTAACAACATAGTGAAGAGAGTATATGCTGCTCATTGGATGAATGAATAATGAGCTGATAGTACAGTACAGTACAGTACTGTGCCTATGATAATTATGGTACTGTACACAGGTATGCAGAACACACTACTAAGGGACAATAAAGAGAAGAAGTGGAGACATTAAAGGATCAATAGGATGACAAAAATGAGAACAAATACTAAGAACTTAATAAAATAAATTCTTAAAAAATAAAAATAACAAAGTGGAAGGAATTAACTTACAACGTGGTGTTGTGCCTGGAGTAGCAACATCCCAAACAATGGTGCTAATATATTTTCTAGTTCCACAATCATGATAGATGTCAAAGCTCTGGTATTAACACTCCCCATAATTTGAAAATTTGGATGGATATTATTCTGGGGGAGCTGCTGTGACATTTGAAAGTCTTAACAGAGAGAAGACTCAGTGGGTGGCTAAAAGAAGCAAAATGTTTATATTTTAAGGAGAGACACACCAGCACCTTCGTACTATTTTACTGTATATTCCATGGGAGAACATTAAGATGACATCACCTGATTCTGGCTGTGTACTGAAGGAGTGTTTTGAGTGAACTTGGTGCAGATAAGAAAAATAAATATCAATCAGTAATTATATATGAAGAAGAGCAGCCAAAGGTAAAAATAAATTATGGAGGTAAGGTTGAGAATGCAGTGTAACATAGATACAGAAATGTCTATACAAAAAGATACAATTCCAATGTAAACCAGAGAGTAACATGAGTAAAGTTCTGACTCCATAGAAACACTTTACCTAAACTTATGACACACTAGAGCTGAAATAACATAATTTTTTGATGGTACACTATAGCAACAAGTAGTAATGACTGTGCAAAGGACTCGATATATGTACAGCCACCTGCACTTATTGCTGGTACAGTGGCTGGTGTGTTTTCTGAGATGTGGCACCACTGGGTTTGTTTACATCGTATTAAAACTCCTGGAATGGCCCCAAGGAACCTCACAATAGTAACCAGACTAAGGAGGAGGCTAGATAAGCATTCCACACAGTTGCCACATCTCACACAATGCACCAGCAACTGTACCTAGTATAAGTGCAGGCGACTGGACATGGTAAGGATAAGTGACGATATTGAGTACAAGATGAGTGAAGAGAGTGAGTACAAGATAAGTGAAGAGAGTGAGTACAAGATAAGTGAAGAGAGTGAGTACAAGATAAGTGAAGAGAGTGAGTACAAGATAAGTGAAGAGAGCGAGTACAAGATAAGTGAAGAGAGCGAGTACAAGATAAGTGAAGAGAGTGAGTACAAGATAAGTGAAGAGAGTGAGTACAAGATAAGTGAAGAGAGTGAGTACAAGATAAGTGAAGAGAGCGAGTACAAGATAAGTGAAGAGAGTGAGTACAAGATAAGTGAAGAGAGTGAGTACAAGATAAGTGAAGAGAGTGAGTACAAGATAAGTGAAGAGAGTGAGTACAAGATAAGTGAAGAGAGTGAGTACAAGATAAGTGAAGAGAGTGAGTACAAGATAAGTGAAGAGAGTGAGTACAAGATAAGTGAAGAGAGCGAGTACAAGATAAGTGAAGAGAGCGAGTACAAGATAAGTGAAGAGAGTGAGTACAAGATAAGTGAAGAGAGTGAGTACAAGATAAGTGAAGAGAGTGAGTACAAGATAAGTGAAGAGAGCGAGTACAAGATAAGTGAAGAGAGTGAGTACAAGATAAGTGAAGAGAGTGAGTACAAGATAAGTGAAGAGAGTGAGTACAAGATAAGTGAAGAGAGTGAGTACAAGATAAGTGAAGAGGGTGAGTACAAGATAAGTGAAGAGAGTGAGTACAAGATAAGTGAAGAGAGTGAGTGTCAGGGCTGTAACGAGCAGGATGGTTCTTCGCCGCCCGCTTGCTTGTTTGTGTCCCCCACTTGGGGGGGTAGACGGAGGTGAGGTCGCTGCTGCCCTGTCACACACCAGACACTACCCAGCGTCAGCACAGCTGTACTTGCACCTCGCTGTTCGTTCAAATTCTGGTTGTGATCTCATCATGTGTCCTGGGCTCGTGGGCTGATTTCCCAGACCTTCACAAATCGACTGTCAATCTCCGGACACCTGCCCCAGCTATTACAGCGGCTGCCTCGTCATCGCCACTTCATCCACACCGTCTGTGCCACAGCGTCTCTCCTGTGTGGAAAGACCTTGCCCGTCTACGCCGACGCCAATTGAGGAAGCTGCCTTGACCGTCCCCTTGAGAGCGGATCCCCGCTCTACGGAACCTTCCACCGGGCCACCGCAGTAGGAAGTATTCTCTATATTGTTTGATTCCCGTAATTGTTTAACTGCATTAATTGTTGACTCCAGTAATTGTTTGACTCCCGTTAATTATTTGATTCCCTTAATTGTTGACTCCATTAATTGTTTGATTCCCTTAATTGTTTGACTCCATTAATTGTTTGACTCCCGTAATTGTTATTAGATATATGTGTGAGTGGTGTCAGAGTTTTGTGTTATTTCATAGTAAAGAGATGTCAATCTTGAACTGTTGCTTGTTATCCCTCGGAAAACTATGGTTCTTAACTTTCCTCATATAAGATCCTGATTAGGCTAGAAAGGGATTTCTATCCCTAAGTCCCAGGCCTTTACAGTGAGTACAAGATGAGTAAAGAGAATGAGTACACCAGAATGAGGAGAGTACAACACTAGAATGAGGAGAGTACAACACCAGAATGAGGAGAGTACAACACCAGAATGAGGAGAGTACAACACTAGAATGAGGAAGGTACAACACTAGAATGAGGAGAGTACAACACTAGAATGAGGAGAGTACAACACTAGAATGAAGAGAGTACAACACCAGAATGAGGAGAGTACAACACCAGAATGAGGAGAGTACAACACTAGAATGAGGACAGTACAACACTAGAATGAGGAGAGTACAAAACTAGAATGAGGAAGGTACAACACTAGAATGAGGAAGGTACAACACCAGAATGAGAAGAGTACAACACCAGAATGAGGAGAGTACAACACCAGAATGAGGAGAGTACAACACCAGAATGAGGACAGTACAACACTAGAATGAGGAGAGTACAACACTAGAATGAGTATATACAACACCAGATTGAGGAGAGTACAACACTAGAATGAGGAGAGTACAACACCAGAATAAGGAGAGTACAATAGAATGAGGAGAGAGTACAATGCCAGAATGAAGGGAGTACAGTGCTAGACTGAGAGTACAACACTAGAATGAGGAGAGTACAACACCAGAATGAGGAGAGTACAATACCAGAACAGGAGAATACAACACTAGAATGAGGAGAGTACAAAACTAGAATGAGGAAGGTACAACACTAGGAATGAAGAGAGTACAACACCAGAATGAGGAGAGTACAACAATTGAATGAGGAGAGTACAATACTAGAATGAGGAGAGAGTACAAACTAGAATGAGGAAGGTACAACACTAGAATGAAGAGAGTACAACACCAGAATGAGGAGAGTACAACACCAGAATGAGGAGAGTACAACACCAGAATGAGGAGAGTACAACACTAGAATGAAGAGAGTACAACACCAGAATGAGGAGAGTACAATAGAATGAGGAGAGTACAACACCAGAATGAGGAGAGTACAACACTAGAATGAGGAGAGTACAACATCAGAATGAGGAGAGCACAACACCAGAATGAGAGTACAACACCAAAATAAGGAGAGTGCAACACTAGAATGAGGAGAGTACAATGCCAGAATGAAGGGAGTACAGTGCTTGAATGAGGAGAGTACAACACTAAAATAAGGAGAGTACAACACCAGAATGAGGAGAGTACAACACTAGAATGAGGAGAGTACAACACCAGAATGTGGAGAGTACACACCAGAATGAGGAGAGTACAACACTAGAATGAGGAGAGTACAACAATCAGAATGAGAGAGTACAACACTAGGAATGAGGAGAGTACAACACCAGAATGAGGAGAGTACAACACTAGAATGAGAGGAGAGTACAACACCAGAATGAGGAGAGGCAAACTAGAATGAGGAGAATACAACACAAGAATGAAGAGAGTACAACACCAGAATGAAGGAGAGTACAACACCAGAATGTGGAGAGTACAACACCAGAATGAGGAGAGTACAACACTGTGAATGAGGAGAGTACAAGACCAGAATGAGGAGAGTACAACACAAGAATAAGGAGGGTACAACACTAGGAATGAGGAGAGTACAACACCAGAATAAAGAGAGTACAATAGAATAAGGAGAGTACAATAGGAGGAGAGTACAATGCCAGAATGAAGGGAGTACAGTGCTAGACTGAGGAGAGTACAACACTAGAATGAGGAGAGTACAACAACACCAGAATGAGGAGAGTACAACACCAGAATGAGGAGAGTACAACACTAGAAAGAAAGAAGCCAGGCCAACACTAGAATGAGGAAGGTACAACACCAGAATGAGGAGAGTACAACACCAGAATGAGGAGAGTACAACACCAGAATGAGGACAGTACAACACTAGAATGAGGAGAGTACAACACTAGAATGAGGAGAGTACAAAACTAGAATGAGGAAGGTACAACACCAGAATGAGGAGAGTACAACACCAGAATGAGGAGAGTACAACACTAGAATGAAGAGAGTACAACACCAGAATGAAGAGAGTACAACACCAGAACGAGGAGAGTACAACACCAGAATGAGGAGAGTACAACACCAGAATGAGGAGAGTACAACACCAGAATGAGGACAGTACAACACTAGAATGAGGAGAGTACAACACTAGAATGAGGAGAGTACAAAACTAGAATGAGGAAAGTACAACACCAGAATGAGGAGAGTACAACACCAGAATGAGGAGAGTACAACACTAGAATGAAGAGAGTACAACACCAGAATGAAGAGAGTACAACACCAGAACGAGGAGAGTACAACACCAGAATGAGGACAGTACAACACTAGAATGAGGAAG